CCCGAAGACTGCAGCCTTATACAGCTGCAGCTTAGCAATGGTTGGTATCAAGTTGCGCAACCTTATCATTACTCCCACTCTCTGACTAGCTTTTTTGCAAATCTCACTTATGTGGACATTAAAGGTCAATTGAGAATCAATGCGTACACCTAATAATTTAATGTTCTGATAGTGGGAAACTCTATTACCGTCTATGTCAATACTGATATTGGCATGAATCATGTCTTTCTAGCTGGTGCAGCTAACCATATGCTGTAAATAATCTAGCCCACGTCCAAAGTGGCCCACTAAACCACATTTTTCCTTTCTTCTAATGTTAATAACCATCTCGCGATTTTGATTAATGTCACTGCTCCTCAATTCCGACAATGCTAATCCATCACGGCCTACGATGGACCAACATTGAGCGGTGTTGTCCCCTTTTCCGTTAAAAGATTTCTGTGGTTGATAGCTGATACCCATGTTAATCTCCTACGAGTTTACTCTTCATCACCAGATCAATTCCTTCATTCCCGTTACTTATCTGTATTGAAATGACTACGAGAAGAGATGATCACGCATGATTCGGCTGAGAAGTTTTAATAGCCGTCAAATATGCCTGAAAACCAACAATTAATGCAACTGTGTTTGCATGCAAGGAAACTAAACACTGACATCAAGAGTAAAGTGAGAGAGAATGGAGATTACTTTGATATTATTGCAGATATAGGCAAAATTAAGTTGCTTCCATTTATTTCTTAAACCAAATTTGGCGAAAGACGAAAAATGTCTACATAAAGGAAACTTCTAAAATTCTAACATGTGCCTCGGTTTGGGGTCCTCTCTCCCTTGAACAGAATTAATAGAGGGTTCCCTCTATTAACTCTGCCTTGAAGCAGTTCAGAACTTGGTTAATTGGGAATTGGGAGGTGTTAATTACCATGAATAATTAGTGGCCTAGCTCTAGCTTGTGAACAAAGAACGTGACGTCAAAATGTTATCAGCCATAATACTCCCTGGTATAATTTCTTGATCCTCTTAATTTTCTTAAAGCCGACACAATGAGGTTTGGCATGGACAATGTAAGACTCACATTTAGGCCTCAATGTAAGTTAAGTATACTATTAGCTCCAAAACAAAGCAAACAACCCATCATGCTTTCTTCTCGCAAACGTTAACATGTAGCTACCCCTGCATTACGTGATGAGCAGCGATCTCATTATCAAATAACCTTTATTTAATCTAAATTCCGCGTTAACAGTTGGACCTCATTGACATGGTGTCGGTTGATAAATTTGATTCAATCGTAAGAACTGGTAGACCTACCTTAAGTCCAGAATCATCCGCATTCAGCAATTTCAAGACCTAAGCGGGTCAAATAATTCGTTTAATTAGCTTACTATTGACCAATAACAATTATGCATTCTTAAAACAATGCCAATCTTACCCTCCTCGAGGGTCTTAAACTAATCGTAAAATAGCAATTATCTATTATCCATATTTCTTAGCTTTGTTATCCTTCGAGAGTAAGCTAAATCAGGCAAACTTCTACAACAGAGGTGCACTAAGCAATTATCTTTCCTTCTTCGATCAAAGTTACGGGAACTGTGAACCATGCATAGTTCGACTCTAACAAGAGTAAATTTGCCACCGTAAGATTCGCCGATATCTTTTGGGTTTTTGTGCAGTCCAGGCGATCCTAGTTGCTATGGCGTTAATCATGCCTTGCTTAAGAACATATTGAATGCTGTTGTTAAGTCATTTGAGAAGGAAATACAGTATCAAAATTCAGCTAGAAGCCTTTGTAAGTCAGATACCCGTCGCAATGTTCCCTGTAGGTAGACATCACAAAACACATGCCTATATTTCAAATTTAATAGAGCCTTACTCTATCTCTTCTTAAAAAAAAATAAATACGAAGATAGCTTATTTTACCGCGACCCTTTTCAGTGTTGAACAAAAGTGACATGGTATGACGAAAGTAAAACGCGCCTACAAGAACTCAAGATAGAACTCTTACTAATACCTTAACTTTCATACGAACTGTGCGCTGTGCATGAAACACGAATGGTACGACGGTGCTGTGCATGAAATTTATGATGGCTTGTGAAAATATTTGACAAGCCTTAACGCATCAGAGCCAACAGAATTACGAGGTGGCACAAGTATTTAGTCCAATTGACACATTATCAGACAAACGTCTGAGGGAATGAAAACGGATTAACACCGCTTCGATATGAGTAAAGTCAGATCATACCTGCACCACTTGATCATCTGTTAAAATTTTACTCCCTTGCAATCCTCTTACGATGTTTCTGAAAGCCTTTGACGATTCTTTTCTGGGACCTTCGCAGTATTTTAAAAGTAATACCATCAGTTCATTAAATTCGATTTCTTCTACGTCGTCTTCATGGTCTCTCAAAGCCTTTTCGTGATCATTCTGAGCTTCCTCGCATATACATAGGTAATTTCTTTCAGGAACTTCGACTTTTTGCTTAGGCAACACAACTTTAACAGTGACGATTTTTTCCTTTGGCGGCTTAACAGATGAGAGAGTTTGCCGCTTATCAGTGGAAGACCCAATTTTCGGTTGTATATCTTGAGACGCTTTCCTGTCATTGTTCCACTTACGCGTTTCAACCTTTAGTTGAGGGATTCGTCCACGAATCTCGGCCCAGTCGGGCGGACTTAAACATTTTGTGCCGACTACTTCCAAATGTTTGAAGTTCCACGGTGTAAGAGACATCTTTGATCGATGAAAGGCACAAGTTCATGGCAACCACATTGCTCATAAGTCAAACAATATTGTGTGTATTTTTCCGCTGTGATCGAATTCCTTGTAGTAGATTGCATGACCAATAACTAATTGTGTTCGTCATTTCCTCTTAATCTTTAGCAAGAGAGTGTCACTCAATGACTACAAGTAAGGCAAACACGATACTTAAAATATCAACAAACTTGCAAATAAAGGTCAAACCACTGTTCAATAGCGCGTTATGTTCATAGCGGAGTTCATTTGAATCACAATAGACAAAATCGCTCGCGCAAATAATTAGGCGTGAGATCAGAATGAAAGGCGAAGGAGAATGTGACGCAGGGGGCTGAGTAAGGGCTGCTGGTTAAGTACCACTTACTTCAAACTCACGTTTTTTTGGTTCAACTTGCCACCCCGGCCTAAAGGAAAAATATTAGTAAATTTTCGTATAACAGCGAGGAGAGTATTGGAGACAAGTTGTTTCGAAATGACAAAGGTTTAAGTTTTGAAATTTCCAGAATGTAGTCGAACTGAAATAGTTCGCCGTGTTCGCGTGTGAACGAGTCACCTAGCTACGAAATAGTCTGATACTCCAACAGAGATACACAACCTCACCTTTGACTTCAAGAACGTATGAAAAGTAGAGCCACCACCGGTCGCTTTCATCCGCGGATCGGTTAACAATGTTAAGTTAAAAACTTAAGAAAGCGATTTGTCCAGTATAGCATGCTAAAGCAGTAACCCACTAGACACTTAGACCAATTGAGCTGCGTTGCTGTTTGTGGTAGTTTTCAGCATCTAAGCCTCGAAGAGAAGGGGTCTAAAGTATCACTCCTCGTTTTCGCAGCTCCACTACTTTTTAAATGTGAATGTCTAATCTGCAAAGGGCAATACAGCAATTTAAAACTTCAAATCGAGCGCCCGAAAAAAACGCCGTTTTTGTAAGTTATTCACCAATTTTCGCGATTTGTGTTGCTCCCCAGTCTGTTACATTTTCCCCTGTGTTGCCCATTACCTTTCTGCCTCGTGACGAATGCTCGTGCACTGACTATCAAATACCACCATAATACTTTAACTATTCGTGGTACGGTCTCACCTATGTGATAGAATAATTATGACTGTGTGTATATAGGTTGATAATCTTTTGCATTAAATTCAGTTCTTTGGTTTCTGCTTGACATAATGTAGTTGTCCGTTGCCCTAGCGCTCTTCACAGCCTGCCTATGAACCGCGATTGGCAAGAAATTTTGCTCGTTTGTACAATTTTGCTCGTTTGTACAATTTTGCGCTGTACCCTCTCCTCCCTAAGCCCTTCGCCTACACAGGTCAGGCTCGTATAAGCAGCCATATTCTCATAACTGGGAATCAGCTGACTTAGAATGGCGTCTTAACGGTTTGTTCGTCTATTTTTCCTTTGTTTTAAAGTTTTTGCTTCCATCACCGTGTTGAGTAAAAATGTGTAAAAATCGGAATCTGCAATCAGCGTAAATCCTCGCTGTATCGAACCACTCCATTCATTCTCGGCCCTCTGAAGATTGAGTCAGTTTGCTAGACATAACGTCTCGTAGTCACGTTCGACGCACTGTATGCTGATTTATGGTGAGTTTACTTCATAATTAAAAAAAAATAGGTTCATATCCTTACATCGATCCTTCAAAGAAATCTACATCCTTCAAAGGAATGTATTCCTTCCAAAGCGTGCCTGAGTCTTTTCCGCGGGAATTTTAACCGCAGATTTCATTGGTCCACGTCAGGGAATGCCCCACTGTATTGCGCACGCGCTAACCTCCAACACTTTACAATCACTTTGTGCTCAAAATGGCTCGTGGAGTCAACTTTGTTTTCTTATTTCTTCTGGTTTTTGTTGCCCCTCCAATTTTTGCCAACAAGGTAGATGAGGAGGAAAGTTGTAGGCGCTATGCTGGTGGGCAAGTTTATCCGGAAAAGACAACGATTTCGGAGCATGCAGTTCATTGGAGCAAGGCACAAAGTACGTGAGTTCGATGTCTTTGACCTGAGAAACATGTGGATTTTGAATTTTCTGCGAAAAGGTGGATTTTTACCAGCCTCTGTCGTTCGCAGATTAATACTTTCTGTGCATCAATACTGCTTTTAAGCTACAAAATGTTGTTTTAACACTTTTTTCATACTGAAACAGAATTTATTGCGCGCGAATTGTATGATAAGTACCGTACAATAATTTTATCTTTTTCCCTTCGAGCCTTGAGGCTTTGAAACGCAAGGAGTTGCTAAACAAAGATATCAATACCAACATTGGTTGTTTATTCCGTTTTTAAGAAGCTCTTAACAATCAAAGGTACATATCGACTGTTGTTGATGTTCGCTTTTATTTGCAAACCAGTGAATCGGAACGCACAGCTCTGAATATATTCATCACATTTCTTTTGTTTGTTTGACGCGCGGAGTTGATTTCAGAGTTTGGAACCGTGCTGATGGTTTCACATCGGTCGGTTATGAACTCAAACTTTCTCCAAAGGATGATGTAACGATTGAGTAATCAATGGTAGAGTAAATTCAACGGTCGATCGGAGAAGTTTGTACAGAGGGTTTTTTCTTTTCGGTGAAGATTCGGAGAAGGAGAAATAATAACAACTTTATGCTGTATTTTCTTGACTTATTTGGCCGTGACATTGCATCGATTTTGATGGAGCTTTAAAAATAGCTTGGGAGACATGAAGCAGAGTAAAGTACCTTATTTATGACCGCAGATAGCTGCTATCGCTTGAACAGATTTGATTATGCACGAATGTGGAAAGATTCCAAGCTTTATTTTTTGATCAAAAACCGAAATCAGGGTACACATAAACATGTACAGCTGTACGTAAATTATAAGCATTACGATGGTACATTGTATCTACATGTGCAAAAATCCCACAGGCTAATGTTTCTTTAGCTCGAGTGGGTCAATTAATGCTAAGCAGGGTTGAAAGTTGAAATTGAATGTATGGTCGGTTCAAAATGCAAATTATATATGGACAAAAAAATCAGACTTAAAACATAAACATTTTTTTGTAACTCTGTTATCAATCGCTGGGGTGATATTCCTTGTTCAGAATATTCTACCAGTTTCCCTCACTGCCTGGACTTGATATCTAGTTTTTAGCGTGATCTCAGAACTTGCCTTTCTGACCAGCTTTTGCTTTGTTGCCCCAATAATGAAGTGTTCTTTATATTCTTAAGGGAATTATTAGGTTTTGTTAATATTAATCAATTTTTTAACTTAATAGTAATTTTATTAATCAGTCATTATCATTGAAAATCTCCATTTTATTTTTTATTATATTTTAACTTTCTATTTTCTGTGAAGTGCATTTGATTACACATTTATTTAATTTGTGCTATGTAATTCTAATTATTCTTCTTATTATAATAATGTCCATTGCTAAAATGTTCACAGTCCATATTGGGAAATATACTTTTTAAACATAGTGGTTAATGCTAACTTGCATTCTTTTAAAGATCAATGTTTAATTCTTTGTCAGCTGTGTATTTGCAGTATTTTTACTTAAAGGGTAA